CAAGTGTTGGATAAACTATACCATGGCATGCGCACGCCTTTTACTATCCAGAGCACTATGGTCAGCAGTCATACATGCAACGAATGATTAAAGTACCGTGCTATTTCAACAGGAACCAAGGGCGCAGTTCCCGAAAACTCCGCTGCAGGTCCCTGCGATATAGATATGTAAGAACAAAACCCCCTGTACCCTACACCCGAAGCCATAATTACAAAGGGATATGATACGAGTGGTTCGGAACCCTAAACCCCCAAAGCCCAAACCCTAAAGCATTAAAGTCAATTGTTAAACTCCAAAGCCCTAAAACCCGCAACCGCCAAGGCCTAAAATCCTAAACAATCAGTCTACAGCCCTGAAGCCCTAAAGCGCTGAGTGTTTTGGATGCCAAGCGGCGGCTGTACTGGCTGTAGGAAGAGATTAGGCGAGGACGACCTTCAGTTCTTAAGGAGATAAGTTTTGGGGTTGTCAGGGTCAAGGGCTCAGAGCTTAATTCGAGATGCTTACCATGAATCGGGGGTTGCACGGTGGGTGGGTGGGTGGTTGTGCTGGCTCCTTCACGAATGTACGAGTTTTTTGGATTCAGGAGCTTAGTTTGAAAGTTAACATGAAATGGGTCGCAGAAGCATTTTATTTCGATGCTCACTCGTACCATCACAACAGCCATTAAGATCCTTGTTACTGTCGGAGTTTTGGTAAACGTACAACCCTGTGATATAACTACCACCTAATCCCCCGGCCCGTCCAAGTAGATTTTGACATCTGTTCCGGGTGATTGAGGAGTTGTTGCTGTTGTTGTTGCTCGTGCTTGTTCTTTGTGTTGTCATCATAACATTACCTGCGAAAGCCCAAGGCGAAGGCGCCGAAGGATCTGTACAAGGGATTTTTTGTTGAGAGGGTTGCGGATTTCAGGTTTCCTTGCAAGAGTCCGACTACCATGGACTTCGACAGGGAATTCTGCAACCGGGAAGGGTCCAGGAGCAAACCGCAAACGAGGTCCTCACAGACCAGGGTGTTCTTGAAAGCCGGCCGCTCTGAACATGCCTCGTGCGCAGGCACAGGACCCCTCAATCCCAATACACTGTTTGTTGGAAGGGTGAACTGAACCCCAAACCCCAAAACCCTAAACCCCTGAACCCTAAACTATTCGCAGACAGCGCTCGTAGAGAGGCTCGACGAGCTTATGAACCGCAGCTAGGATGCAGCTGTGGATGCAAAAATGTATGGTGACGTCATTCAACGCTGGCCGGAATGCAATTCTTTAGGAAGCGAAGACTGTGGTCTTTTAGGATTTAGGGCTCAGGGTTTAGGGCTGGCGCCGGATGCGGGCTTGGAGTATGACATTTGAGGGGAAGCATGTGCGCCTCTTCTAATCTTTATAGGTGTTAAGAGCTATCTTGAATCATACGGGCCTGTGAGCAGCGCGCCAGGAAGCCAAAACTAAAGAGGCAATCTGCATCACCAGACTACGCCTTCGACGCTGAACACTGAGAACCCCTAAACCTCAACCCCTGAACCCAAAGCCCTATACAGCCTCCCACCAGGACTGTAGCCGGCGGAACTCCGGATCATCCGGCATTACCAAGCCTCCAAACAGTTGAAACTCGTGAGCTCTCGCATGAGACCTCTTCGGATTTTAGAGTTACTACGCACTATTATGTTTTCAGGACTATCTTATTGTTGCTACTTATACAATTGTTATTATTATTGTTGTTCTTCCCATTAAATACTACTTTTATTCACAGTATTGTTATCATTGCAGTCTCATTTTTGGACACTTGCACAAGACATTTGGGAGTGGGTGCGATATCCTCAAGGGGACAGGGTCGAGGGAAAAAGGCAAACCTGGCTTAGGGGGTTGGGGTTCAGGGCCATTGCGGCTTAAAAGAAGGGCCTTCAATGACGGCCTTCAGATCAAAATGTAGATTTATGTATATATGTATATACACATAATTACACACATGAGTCTATAATATATCTATCTATCTATATATACAGACATAAATACATATATACATATCTGTATAAAGTATATATATATATATGCACATATATACATGGGAATATGCCTGTATATTCATAATTATACCAGAGTAGGGTCTTGCGATGCTGGTGGCAGGTGCTACCGTGGCCCTAAGCCGCCGTTGTCGATCTTTTCCTTGCCTCGGTAGTAGCCGCCGACCCAGAGGAACCGCTGCCAGAAAGGGAACAGAGCAATGTCAACCATCGAAATTTCCTTTCTAGGTGGCGCTGATGTAGGGTGTTTAGAGGGTTTCAAGCTTCAACAAGGCTTCGCGCGAATAGGATTCAAGTAATTTGAGCAAAGCAACTCCTGAAGCTGTCGGTTGAACCCTGGGCCCGAAACTCCCTAAACCCTACAATCTAAAAGCCTTTACAGTACCGCAAACCTTGAACCTGGCTGTGCGAATCCGCATACTACCACCCGTGTAACAACCATACAGAAAAGTTAGACTCACTTAGACAAGGAACCCATCGTAGCTGACTGCGCGACAAGGAACCCATCGGAGACATGTTGTGCTGTTTTCGAGGGGGTTATAGAATGGTTGATGTGGGCAGCTGAATAGTTGTGAATATCCTCTCATAGCTCTTTGAGGCTCAGGAAACCTTTCTGCTGTGACGCTTAATCCTACAACTCAGCCAAAGCATGTAAACGCTAAATCCTGAATCGTATACCTTGCACCTGCCACGGATCTTAAGTATTCCCAAGAACCCTACACACCAAACCTGGGCGACAAGACGAGCATTTCTAGGTTGGAACACAATCGTGATACTTCTCAGGGCAGTGATGCGCATGGCCCCAGCAATCGTAGAACAACACCGTTTCTCAGGAATTAGGATGGTTTAGGGTCCAAGGAGCTAGGGGAGCCCTGCAGTAACGGAAACCCCCAGTAGATTATGCCACAGGCAGTCCTTCCCAAGGAAGTAGGGCCCGTCGGTACCTGGGTTGTAGTTTTGGGGCCCTGGAAAGTATTTATGAATAGATACCTCTATAGAAACCATAAGGGAAATTTTACAGTTTCCCAAATTGCCACCTAGGTACTCATGGCTTTGGCGAAAGTGCGGCACTCAGCGAAAAAGGCTCCCTTCGCTGTCGCCTGTTTCTCCGGATCCTGTGGCGTTGAGATCAGGACGGCTTAGGGTTTAGGGTTTTTAGGGTTTAGGGATTAGGGATTATAGGGTTTAGGGTTTAGGGATTAGGGTTTAGGGTTTAGGGATCAGGGTTTAGGGTTCAGGGTTTAGGGGAGCTTGGATGCTTGCATGTACAGCTTCCAACCAATGAAATCTCCATGTAGCAAAAACTTGCGGTGTAGAATTGAGCAACTGGCGCCTCTCTCTCGCTCTCTGTCTCTCGCTGTGTCTCATGACGCCGTCCTGGTCCATTAGCAGCATGTAGAAATTCTTCTGCATCCTTTCCGTGACGAAGTCGGACCAAATTCGAACGTGCGCCCGCTTCAGGGGATCCCCCTTCGGCAGGAAGAAGGGAGGGTGATCGAAGCGTTCGTCGACATACCTGCAGCTTGCAAGCTTTAGGCTTTCGGGTTTGAGGTTAGTTGAGTTGCCAAATGATCATCCGCAGCCCAAAACTTGGCCCACAGAGCCCAGGACTCAATTGAGAGGTAAGCTGCACTCCCCAGAAGCCCTTCCGATCTTTCTGATCTAGTAAACCGCAAACATACGGAAAACAACTTATCCGAGGGATTGGGGCCAAGGGTGGTTCAGAGTTCACGACAGTAGGCTTTGGATCACGGGTTTAGGTCAGCAAAGACAAGGACACGGTACCGAATTCCCAGACACCAAAAAAGACACGGACACCCAGATAGTACAAGGAGGCCACACTTCTTTCATGTGACTGTACTGGGGTGTACCACGAGTAGCGTTATAACGTAGAGCTGATTAGACTACTGTTTTGGTGAACATTGCAACAGAAAGCTTGCCATGGACGGGATATCATTCCTCACAAATCAGGCCTGTGTCTTGCTTTCTTAATGCTATCTGCTCGTCTGTCTGAGACAGTCCTGCTGAAAGTCAGACACCAAAAGCACATGCTCATACGGTTGATGATATACATCTTGCCTGACCCATAATAAGGAATGTACCAAAATTCCCATAGTTTAGGGTTCTTAAGGTGATGTAGGATTTGCATCATCAACAGTAGCTCTTATTTTGAACCCCCATTCTGCTGCAAGGTCGGTCGTCAGGATCATAGGTTTAGCACCCGACGGAGCAACCTCGCACCCTAGGAGGTAGAAGCACAGGCACGACAAGTTACCAGAATCACAGCAACAAGAACGGTACAACATACCGTAAAACATACCGAACAAAGCTGTCCTAAAACCTCAACGGCCCTAGATTAAATCCCCAAACCCTAAACCCGGAACCGAAACCCAAACTCCGAACGCAAGCCTCTTATCATAATTTTCGGAGGTCCCCTACATCCCAAGCCCTGTTGCATAGCCTGCTCAACGAATTACATTTCGAGAACCCAAACCCTCACCAAGACCCCGAGCCTAAACCCTAAACCCTAAGACCTGAACCCTACACCCTAAACCCTAGACCCCAAGCCCCAAAATTCGAAGCAAGATGCTGCACGACGTGCAGGGATTCCCAAACTTTGTCTCCGTTGGGATCTGCCACAGCCGGAACCAACCCCCTGGGAGAAGACTGCACGAAGTCGGGGTACATTGCCTGTGGTTTAGGGTTTAGGGTTTAGGGTTTAGGGCAAAGGGACCCTCCAAGACACCTCGAATGGGGGTAAAGTGTCCCAAATTAAGGGGTATTTGAGGGTAGATGGAGGGTCTAGGTGTGCAAGGCTGCCCAGGGCTGCTTTGTGATATAATTGGGCTCTAACCTGAACTATCGAAAGCGAGTTTGAGGCCAAAGGCTTTTGGGCTCTAGGGTTTCAAAGGCTTAACGCTGAAGGATTTAGGGCTTGCGGCTGAAGCTTTTGGGTTATGGGCGTTTAGGGTTAGCATGTAGGGTTCTGGCTACAGAATTTAGCCTTTAGGGTCGAGGGATCAAGGCTTCAAAGCCAAAACAAGGGGGGGTTGAGTGATAGGTTGGCATGTCCTCAAAAAAGCCTAGCCCCCTAAAACACAACCCCCTACACCCTAAAACTTAAGCCCTGACGTGTCTCATTCAGCAACCGTGAGACTCTCCGGTTAAGTTTCATGCTGCACCGACACGTAAACCTCCTAAACTCCTAATTTTGGTTAGCTTTCACAGGGATCAGGATACCTCAGGAAGGCCTTGCAAAGCCCCACGGAACTCTAAATCCAAGCCCTCTCGTACATCCCATACAGAACCCTGATAGAGTCCGCATTGAACCATGTCGAACCCACATCGAGCCCCTGATGGAGCCAACAGAACCCCGTATAGAACCCTGTACAACACCGTCATCGACTTGATTGAATCCCCGGAAAGAGCCCCATAGTGGCTTCGAGCTCTGTAACCACCAGCTTCTCGGCGTGGGGCAAAATTTTGTTCGTGAGTGCGAGGCTGATGTTAGGGAGAATGAACATGCAGCAGCAACAACAACCCCTCGTAATCCCGGTAGAAGCCTTACGTATGATCGTCTACGTATGACCGTCATGACCAGCAGCACCTCAGCGGACAATGTCAGCATCTGCATCAGAACCTCGACCCTGCCACACACCCCACGTCTCTCCGGCCTTCTTCACCTCGATAGGCAGCTGCTTCTTCGTGTATCCTCCTTCAGCTACTCATACTTGCAGCTTGGGCCAAAGTCTTTTGAGCTTGTCACCTTGTAGATATGGTAAGGTTCGTTAAGACGTTAAGCCCGAAAGGCCAAATAACCGGAGTCGAATACTGTGTGTGGTAGCAAGCAACTTCTTTCCCATCTCGCCGAGCTGAGTGGCTTGATTATCAATCCCCAAACCCTAAACCGCAGGAGGAGAAACAGGAGGGTTGAAGGCTCCGGGTGTAGAATGTCGGCTGTAGGGGTTAGGGTACACGAAATTCTAAGTTTCTCCTGTGCTTCCCTTGTTATAGCAACTCAACACACCGCTAAGCTTGTCAAAGGCCCGTTACACCCTGAAACCTTCACAAAAGCCCGCAACCCCCCGAAACTTCACCATCTCCAGTATGGTCTTTACGGTTCAGGGTCGTGCAAAACCTACGAAAACTCTGGGACATCCTGTCTGCGAAGACCCCTTGAGCCCGAAACCCGGGTTCCTGGAAGCTGCGGGTCGACTTCATATGGATTGATCTCCACGTAGGAGTAGTCCACACCCTTCTCCTCAGGGTGCTTCCCGCTTTGACGTGTAATGTAGGGGCCTTACTCTTAAAGCCCCTATAGTAGGGGAGCCAGAATCCTGCCTTGCTTTGCACCTTTGTTAAATCCTATCCCTAAATCCCCCCTGAACCATAGACTCTAACTCCTACATGCCGGTCTCCTCCAGGGCAATCCAAGCACGTTGAGCGAAGGGGCAGAACCAGGAGGTGAAGAGTTTCATCTTTTCTCCATCCTGGACGGTGAGCAGAGTCGCAGCTCAGTGGTTTAAGGGTTTGGGAATCCAGGGGCTCAGCGTTCAGGATTTAAGGCTTAGAGGTTTCGGGCTTCGGGATTTGAGGGTAGGGGTTTATATGAGAGCTTGAGGCGGTCTAGTGTCGGTTCTGCCCCGTACATTAGCAACATACCTCACATTCCGGAGCGATCCTTGATTCAGGGTGCTGCATATAGCGTTTAGAAGGCGTGTTAGGCTCTACCTTACACAGCCCAACTATAACATATAGACCCCGTATACATCCCGCCTAGAAGCCGTTTTGCTCACACCGGTCATCCCCTCCTCCAAACCCTAATTAACTCTGAACCTAAAGTTTAAGCTTAATTTATGTCCTAAACCCTAAACCCTAAACCCCCAGGTCCTAAACCCTAAACCTTAAAACCTAAACACCTAAACACCTAAACGCTAAACCTAAACACCTAAACCTTTAAATTCTAAACCCTTAAGGCCTGAACCCTTAAGCCTCCTACTACTAACTTTATCAAGGGCCCAAGAGTTACAATACGATGTTGAGGTTCCTGGGACTCTCATAAGTATAGTGTATCACATCACCTCTACTACTGTCGCGGGGTTTCCTTATTATGATTATAGCATAAGATGCCCCAAAACCCTACTCTAATCACCCTAAACCCACAACCCTAAACCCACAACCCTAAACCCAAAACTCTAAACTCTAAAC